CCCCAAAACCCCAAAACCCCAAAACCCCAGACTAAAAATTTATAATTGAAATTATTATGGAAACTCCCGCAATTTGGGACTTTGCCCAGATGAAGACAACTCTTCAATCGTCAAGATTAACCAAAGAGTTTCTGACCAATCTGCCGTTAGCTTCTGTTATTCTGTCTTACTATGGATATGCAGATGAATGCAGGGGGCTTATGACTCAGCTAAGAAGTGGTTCCAGAAGTCTTTGGAACCTAAACAGACATATTTTGCTGAGGAACTACCCTGGTGAAGAAGATGAGGTCAGACTTATACTGAAGAAGAAGTCTTTACAAATTTTAGTTGCATTGCATTGGAAGTTTCGAATAAACAAAGAACATGTCTTGGACACTAGACGATTCATGATGAGTGAGTTTTCTAAGTTGTATCAACTTGAATTAAAAGTCTTTGAATTTCAATTAGTTGATCAGATGCTTCTAGATATCATCTTTAAAGGAACTGACATGAAAACAGTTACCATCAAAAGTGTCAGCTTTGTTTGAAACTATTATATTTTGTGAAATGATGATTTTAGAAGATATGATCCCACCTTAATTTTCAATAATATGAAGAAATTAGCAAAAGTGCTTCATAATGAATTTGAAGTCTATGAACTCGAAGACTGAAAATATTTTATCCCTCCTAAAATATTTGAGGTAAGAGAAAACTGTCTGGCTTTCAAAACTTGAGGTTCAGAGGGAATCACTTTTTGGAAAAGTTATCCAGTCTGAGGAAATGAGGATAATGAAATGCTGGAAGAACAAAGATCATTTTGAAAAATTATAACACAAATTATGAAGAACCTTAAGACAACATCAGTTGAACAAGTATTCCAAAACATTCTTTCTTCTGTTTTAGAGATCGAAGTATCCTACAATGGAATTTTGAATAAATCTATTGCTCTAATAGAACTTTCAAAGAAACTAAAGATCTGGTCTAAATACCTTCAAGCCAGAAATTGTAGGCTCAAGACAGTAAGGCTCTTTCTTTCTTTTTGACGATATTATGGACCAAGAGAGGAAAGTGACTCATTGTTTGAGCCCCTAGTTCCATTTGCTCAGAGCTGCATACAAAGTGGCCTTAGCTTACAGCTTAAGGAAAAGTATTATTCCAATTCGGAGCCCCAGATACAGACAAATCTTGCATATTGGGTTTTAGAAGATAAGGCCTTGGTCATAAAGAAGTTTGAGGGCAGTTTTGAGAATTATTTTACACATAAATGTTGGGCCTACAAAGAATGCTTAGTGCTTCATAAGAATTCAGTCAGAATTAATATCGACATTATTGATGTTATACTTCTTGATGATGTTGGTGTTAATAAACAAATCCTTAAGAATAACAAAATTATTATTCCCATGAAGAATATTTTGAGTTTTCATAAAGATATAAGTCAACTTACACTTAAAAACATCCCCTTACTTCCAGTGAAATCTTTGACAGTTTCGATCTCATTGGACAAAGCGACTAAAAGGATATTGAATCGAATCAAAATTCTTCACAAAGACACAAAAATTAAATTAGAGGCTTCACGCTACTATGAAGTCAGTAGGGACCAAGACGGTGAAAATTTGACCAAGTTCTTTGACACTTATGACTCCAAAAATTTGGTCTCTCTGAAAATTCATGGGGATTTAGACGCTACCAATGAGCTTAACCAGTTTGTTGAGTTCATACAAAGCAAGAAAAATCTCAAATCGCTAGAATTCAGTATTTCAAGAAATTGGGGAACACAAAGTTATAGTAATACAATAAAGAACTTGTTCAGTACTTTGAGGAGTCTCCCAAACTTAAAATTTGTGAGTATTTCAGCTTCCGACCCATCCACTTCTATCAGTAATTACTTTCATGAGATGTCTAAGAGATTTATAAGCCAAAGATTAGAGACAAAAATTGAAATCACGATTGGATCAAAGGAATATCTTGATAGATGTTCAAGATTGACTAAGAAGTTCTCCCACCTTCCTTCATAATTTTAATCTTGGAATCAATTGTTCTTAAAATCCAACTCTCACCTCCTTGTAGTGTCTAATTCCGCGGCACTACTGATCTTGGACTCTGAAGTCTCATTCTGCTCGATTAGTCCTGCCGTGTTTGTTTAATCTGAGCCAGACATGGAGTCCTAGTAAATAGTCAGAACACTTCTAACATACCTTGAGGGTCTTAGCCGCACAAGTCTAGATATGTACCCATTTTTGTATAGAATGCTGAACTAGATTTATGTGGTCAGGTCGAGCCTGGCTTAATTAAGCAGGCTGAGTTCCATTCACTTTAGCTACTGAGGGCTTAGGACTTTGCTAACTGGACAAATAACTGTGGGGAGGAGTGCTAGTAAGATTGGGTTTAAAGCGATAGATGTATTTTGAGTGTGAAGATAGAGTTGAATATTGATAGGAAATATCGAGTGAGGTAGTTTGCTTTATGGGGTTTTGGGGTTTTGGGGTTTTGGGG